CTCAATTGTATTGAAATAGAAAAACATCTTACCATGATCTTAATTATATGAACTTTATCTCAGTGGCAAAAAAAAAAAATTATTGTAAAGTGCTGTTAGACTGAGACAACATGGCTTCATGTAAAACTCAGATTAAGTCCAACATGTTGGTCAGATTAACAAACCTCAAAAACAAAACATAAGAATCTGTCACTTTTATTTTATTTTCCAAAAAGTACCCTAACATTCTCAACCACCAGCACACAGTCAGACATCATTTCCCGTATTTGTAGATTTTAGTCATGTGTAAATTAAAATAACATTTATATTTTGTTAAAACCAGGAGACCTTTAAACAACAAATTACAGAAGATTGAGTCAAACAATATGAAACAATGACCAACACTTCAAGCAATCGTTTTCTCTGTGTATTTAAGATTACCACGTCATCTGGTTTCTGTTACAAGTTTATTTAAGAAATTAGATCATTAAATTCACATTTTAGAGTTGATTTGATTGGAGGACTGGTTTGTTTCTCAGAAGTGTCAACAAGAGGAGTTCAGATTAAATGTCTGACTTCAACTCTTAAATAAGGAGCACAAAATGAAAGCCAGGAAAACTAAACCAAACCAGCTTTGATAACAGATGATTTGGCAGCTTACATTCAGAACATCAGCTACAAACAAAAACTACAAAAACACAACAAAAAGGTAAATAAAGATGAGATAAAGTTAGTCATCCGACATTTACTCATGAGATAACAAATATCTACTAAAAGGGGAAGGAGACACATCCAGATCCCTCCAACTTCAGTTAAGAGCCATGTATGGAAAGACAAAGGACCATAAAACATGCTGAACAGGGTCCAGAGCTGCAGGTCTCTAATCTAACCTGCCAGGCCAGCAGGTCCTGGCTTCTGGAAGTTACCATGTTGTAGTTCAGGAATAAACTAAGGTCAGGATCTGTGTCCCACCTACTCCTCCAGTCTGCACTTTTTTTTATTGAATTGAATTATTCTTTAACATGAAATAACTCCATACAGCTGAATGTTCTAGAGAAAACGAATCCTTAACTCAGTTTTACAAATATTGAGGCCAAAGTTGACTTGGTTTTAGCTGACATTTGTTCACGACCCAAACTCTCAAGATCATGAGATGATGCATGGAAAACTTTCCAAAGCATGGTCAAAATGACTTTCTAACAGCATACAAGAGATGATCCTCGTGCTCCAAATACAGGTGAGGACGCTGGATTAGCCTGACGTTCTGATTGGGTGACAGATTCCACCTGGTGTAAAAGCAGCTCATGGTTTATTAATGACCCGAGAATTAGAACATGTGAATTATAAACCCTTTGGCTTTCCATAGACCCCGCCATGTTGGTCTGTTTTCTAATGTTACTGCACAGTATTTAACAAACAGTGAACCAAAAAAAAAAAAAACCTTCTCAGTGTGTTCATTCCCTGCTCAGACATTTGGGCTCTGTGGGTCTCAGCAGCAGTGCAGCCCGGTGAATTCAACAGGTAAAAACTGTTCACCTGACCGTTACAGAGAACATTTAGGAATTAGGCATGTTTCTTTCAATTATACATGTTTATAATCCACTAAAATAAAAACACAAGTCATTTAAACGGATTTTCAAACATTTAAAGTGGGGTTCTGTGGAATGGTGGTCAAATATTATAATTAACTCTTTGAAACCCAGTTTTGGAGAAAACGTTTATTTCTGTCCAAATTGATGAACCAACAGCTAATCTGAGTGGAACCAGGACCAAAGCAGATTGCTGCCATTTTAAAATAACTGAACATCTAAAGAAATTCATTTAATTTAATCCCCATTTTCTAAATCTTTACACCACTGTCAGTTCACATGATTTATTACTGAGCCTGCCAGGGGACATGGGGAATTTTTTTTTCTTTTTACGTTCTCTCACAAAAGTCGCTAAACACTGTTGAGCCTGCCGGTTTATTAACAAACTCACATGTTCACCATTAGTGAGTTAGCATACTGCTTTAATTCAGCTTCAGAGTGAATATATCACACAGACACGCATGGAAGTTTGTCAGATGATGATATTTTAACACAGTACAGCCACACAACATCAATGTCAATTTCACGAACTTGTGGCGACACATCCTGTTTTTTGGTAACCGGACATTTCAAAATAAAAGTCTGATTTAATTCAGTTCATGTACAAATAAAACTTTTGCGTGGGAACGCAAAACAATATTGCGAGGCAACGCAAAAGAATAAAATCCCCCACGTGTCCCCTCGCGGGCTCCGTAATTTATACCTTTAATATAGAACTCTGGTTATTTACAAGGACAGAAAGTGGCGGCAGCAGCTAGCTGTAGCAAAACATGGAACAACTGACTTTTCTGGGACAACTAATGAGAAACTGAATTTGGTAAAAAGTTTTAGAAAACAGCTTTCTGAAGTCAGGTCAGTAAGACGTGGGCCAGGGTGGGTTACAAAATAATGTGCACAGCCTGGAATACAGTCTCGCACATCAACAGCTGTGATTGTCAAACCTGTCCAGATGAAGCCAGGCCAAGTGCCTCAACAGGCACAAACACTCAAGACATCAGCAGAAAATTAACTTTTTTCCCTTTTACTTCTTCTTATCCAGCTAATCTCACTGTTACATTAATCCTGTCAGAATTAAACTGTACTTCTCCAAACTGAGGAGGCTCAAAGTGCTATCTACAACAGGTAAGATATTGTTTGTTCATAACATTTCCACAGAACCCCACCTTAAAAGTGAACTATTCCTTTAGGAAGTTCAACCCATGAAATGGTCCAACTCTTCCCCCTGCTGACAAACTGGTGTCTTTAACTGTAAACTGGGATTAAAATAACTGAGACTGCTGCTTTGTAAATTATTCTGATTACATTAGAGATCAAAATATTCACTTTTCAAGTTATTCATTCAAAATATACAACTTTGATTATAAGAAAGGGATTAACAGAATCTGATTAAGTGCTATGGCCCCACTCGATGCACATCACATGTGCTGCAGCTTAAAGTTTACAAAACATTTCTAACTTGAGATCAATCATAGATCATAAAGATAATCTTGCTTTAAAAGTATTTTTTTCTGTAAATACCTGAGATACAAACCCTTCAACAGTGGTTTCGATAAGAGCACAACATAACGAAGTGATTCATCATCAGAGTCCGTCTCTTTCTGTGTCAGTTTGTCACTTTGCAGCCATAAGAACCTGATTTGTTCTTTCAGTCCTGCTTTGTTTCTCTACTGTAAACATAAATCAAATCCAGTTCAAACGATCAGGACAGGAAGAAAATAAAAGAGCACATGTACGTTTTTCAGACAGTGCAACAGTAAACATTGTTTTTATTATTCACCATTTTTACTAGAAATTTAAGACTAAAGCATTAGTTTTTAAACCTGTGGATGAAATCTCAGTGCAGTAGCAGCATGACTTTATTCCTGGATAAACTATCATCAAAAAGTCAAATCCTGTGTACATTTCAGGAGTTAGTCTGAACCCAGAAAGTTTTTATTGTTTAATGGACCACAGAAGACTAATTCACCTCAAACCTTAGCTTTCTGTGGATATTTGGTCTTAATAATGTAAATAAAAAGGGAAAATACTGAATGAACTGCTTTAGAGATCCGACTGAAATTTTTAATTTTACAGCTCCTTTTTGCCAGTTTTGAACTAGTTTAATTTCAGTAGCAGCTCCAGCACCAGGTATTTCTTTTTCAAAATTCCCATTGATTTAGAAATCAGACAATTCTTAATGAAAAAAACTTCTAATTTGTCCAAATAAGCAACAAGATACAGAACATCCTCTCTGTTAGCAGAAATCTACAAATAAAATGGTCCAGATGATCAGACTGAGCTCTCTGTACAAATAAAACTCAACTAAATAGATTTAATTTATAAAACAGATTAGCTCTTTAGTCAATTGTTTGTTGCATACCTCAAAACATGAAACTGCACTGATGTGATTTTTAATTTTAGACTGAATGAAGCTGAAAATCAGCAGATTCCAGTTAGCAGCTGAACAGCTGATGCATCTTTAGCTTCTCTAGAAAGAAACAATTTTGGTACCTTGTGGTGTAAATCTATGACTAATCTGAATTACATCAAGATAAAGAGTCCTGTTAAAACATTCTCTTGGCTCTAGTGTAGAGTCTAGAGTGTTTAAATTAGTCATTTTTAGGAAATGAAATATCAAAATAAAATGTTAGTTTCGTAAACAAGGCTGCAAAACTCTTTACAAGAGAAACTAAACAGTTTTAGGGTTGGGCGATGGGCCATCAAGGGTCCAGCTGGGTTTAAGACTCTTATCATCATAGCAAGAAGAGTTTTGGAACTTGCATGAAAAAGTCTTAAAGGGATCCCCGATTAGTTGTAACATTAGACTTTATTTAATCAACACACATTTTAACTGTAAAATAAAGACTGTAAAAATACTGTAGGATGAACCTCAGTTTAGCTTGTTTGTCGTGCTAGCGCTGAGCTAATACATTTAAGGCAATATAGCATTGGCACTGGCGCGAAGGCTAACAGGCTAAGCTGGGGTTCTTCTTCCATGAAGCAGCTCTGTTGTCCTCCATCCATATTTTCAGTTCCAGGCTGAGTCATTTCTACCTTCTCCTCTCTGTCAACGCTCTCTGGTTTCATTTAAAAGAGTCGATCATCAGATATTGTTCAAGTTTAACCTGCAGGGTGGATATAACTTGCTAGTAGCCTCACACCGAGGACCTAGTTGATGTCATCATTTGCCCAGAATGCTTTGCATGTTAATAAAATGGCCCCGTCCATGTTAAAATTTATATTTTAAAATTTACAAAACTGAACATCCTACAGTATTTTTACAGTCTTTATTTTACAGTTAAAATATATGTTTATCAAATAAAGTCTAATGTTACAACTAATCAGGGATCCCTTTAAAACAACATGTTCCCTGATGAGCATGACCCCGGTGCGTTTTTAGTACCAGGCCAAAATGAAGGCGAGAGCTCTGCAACAGCTTCCACTGATGATAGGAACAAGATTTAAATCTAAAATTAAGAGAAAAACAAACAAAAAATGCAGTCAATGAACTCCAATGGTGGAAGTTTTCATCCATTCACCCAAACCTAGTAGGGTCTGAAGGATGTTAGCAGGAATAAACCACAACATGGGTGATAAATCTACCAGAGGACAGGGAGTGATCACTCTGCTCACAGATCCACACAGACGTCTGACAGAACATCACAACCAGCGGTGGTCCTGATGGTGTCGACGATGGCTCACTTTTCATATTTCTATATGAAGTTTTGTGACTCTGGAGGAGCCAGTCAGGAGGTAGAAGAGCGCGAGCTCTGCGCCGCGTCACACAGGATCTGCTCCAGAACCGTCAGCAGGTGCTTCAGTCCGTAGACGTAGCCGTGATCATGGCTGTCGCTCGGGAACACGTGAGCAAAATCAATCATCCTGACCTCCACCTCCAAGTCCTCTGTGTTCTCTGGACCTCTACCTCCTTTCAAGCCTTCCTCCTCTGTCCAGCTGCTTCTCTTCCTCTCTCCCTCTGCGTCGTTTCCTGTCAGGGCTGATTTGTCTCGGTTTCTATTCGGTGATTGTTTCTGATCAACAGTTTGTTGACTTGTGTTGTCTTCTTCACAGGGTGCTGAGGCAAGACCTCCTGACTCTGAGGTGGTCGTTATCTGAGCATCTACACTGTTGTTGAGGTGATAATCCCTCCCACACAGGTGATACCCTGTTTTCCTCTGATTGGTGTAGTTAGTGGCCTCCTCTGTGTTGTTGTTGTGCTCCGCCCCTTCATTTTCCGCCCTCGCACCCTCCTGATTGGCTTCCTCTTCCTGGCCCTGACCACTATCACTCATAAGCAACAGCTTGGCTGTTTTCATCACAGCGTCATCGACTGACGGGTTTCTGAGGAGGGAAGGAAAAGAGGAAGAGGAGGGCTGGCCCTCGTACACAAACAGAAGAGAGCTGGCGTAGAAGGCCAGCTGGTTTTGGGAAGTGAACCAGTGGAGAATCTGTCGCACCCTGTGCATGCTGGCCCAAATGGCATCTTTCCTCAAAAAAACTCCGTTATCGAAGAACTTTGCCAAGCCTGAAGCGGGAATGAAAGAAGAAGAAAATATGATATTTGAGAATTGAAAAGAAGTTTAAATTTGAATTTAAATACATGCAACATGATGTTACTATATTTACTATAAAGCACTGGAAACGTGACTTTTCCATGGGGAACCTTTTAGCATAATTGACCCTATTGCCTTGGCGGAGGTTTGCGCTCTTCGAGTGCTTCTAGTTTTTTATTATATTTATAATACAAAACTGAACATACATACCATCTTTAACAGTGTCTTTAACCAGGCTTCTTCCATAGTGTTGGTTAAAGGAATCAAAAGTGCCACTCTGTAGATTATAAATCTGCAAAAACAAAAGGAACATGTAAAAAACAGTTTAGATGGTGGTTGGCTGCAGTTGATTATAACTGGTGAAAAGGTCCTAGGGTGGACAACCAGCTGCTTGGGTCTGTACGTTCTCCCTGTGTTGGTGGGGATTTCTCCAGGTGTTCTGGTTCCCTGCCACATTCCAAAAGCTAATGTGAAATTAACTGGTGGCTCTAAAGTGGCATGAGGTTGTTTGTCTGTGTCCCCATGATGGACTGATCTCTCAGGGTGTACTCTTCCTCTTGGCCGCCAAATGGAATGTAGGGTTGGATGAAATCTCATCGTGTGCAATTAATCATCAGAAAAATTAACAGTTAATATTTGTCACTTTTCAATTACTGCAACTAGTGCCATGTGACATATTTTTGTGTGCGGCACACTATCACTATCAGGCGTGCATTTGAGCCCAATGGTGTAAGTGAGCACAGAACAGCTAACCCTTCCCCTAAGATTTTGAACTTGTGTCACCTGAAACATTACCAAAAACAGGAGTATGAATTTAGAAAGAAAATGAGAACCAAGGCCACAATGTCTATTACATGCAAGCGCAATGGTCATATTTTAATTGTCATATTAATCCGCTAAATGCCACAGTTAATCTTTTTTTGTCAATATTGCCAAGCCCTAGTAAGTGGGTAGATGAATGAGTAACCTTTACCACCTCACAAGTTAACAATATTTCCAGTTCTTAAAGGAGACCAATTATGGGTCCTAGAAATTTTTATGGTATGTCTGTGGACTATCCAGACCATGTTCATTCAATTTAATGCACAAAATAATTCTCAGATAATAAAATTTCCCATTTTCTAGTTCTGCCTGCTCTGACTTCCGTTCAGAAGAGCTGTTTATGTTAATGAGCTCTGTTGGTAACGCCCTCCAAAAATCTGTTGAAAWTAACTCCGCCCTCCAAAGCCAACATGAACGTTAGCATGGCTAATAATAGCAGAAGCTCCGTTGTACAACCATATGAGACCCAGAGGCAGAGTCGTGGTCCCAGCTTCTTTTTTTTTCTCTCCCTCCTCTGCTCTGCGCTCACTCTGCATGCTYTTACCAGAGCAGGGAGCAGCAGCGGTCAAAATACCTCAGAAACTCCAACAAATAGGCTTTAACAAGGCTTTAATAAGCTAAACAATAGAGGTACATGAGAAAATGAGTTCATAACGAACAAAAATAAATAAATAATTAAATTGTGTCCATGCCGGTCTCAAACCCCGGTCTCCCACTCTCTGGTCCAACATTCTACCCATTGCCTTATTGGAGGCTTGTTGTGAACTAAGCTGCGGATTGCACAACAACACCGTGACAGCTTTTTTTATTGAGGAGGTGGAGTCTCAACTGGGGGTTGCTAGGTAAGGGGCTGAACGCAGGTTCTGGTGGGTTGTCGTACGCTTGTGACATCACAAAATGACGGAAGTATAAAATTTGTCGTTAATATACATTAAAAATACATTTACTTACAGTAAATATGCCCCTGAGTGCATTTTTTTGGTCCTAGGACTGTTTTTTAAGAAGTACATACCCAAAGTTGAGTAAAAAAAACCTTTAAAAAGTGAATTTTGCATAATAGGTCCCCTTTAAATTTCCACAAGGGGATGATAGATCGATCTCGATCGATCTATCTATATCTCTCTCTATATATCTCTATCTTTCTCTCTATCTCTATCCATCCATCCATCCATCTATAGATGTGTTTTGACATGTGTACAAGAGCTCTCCTGATCCCAGAGACATCTGAGGCTACAGCTCTGAAAGTCCAGGTCTAAAACCCTCACAGATGAGAAAGAAGACCTAATAAAAAACTGGTCAAAATCCATCCATCTTCATTTTAACAGTGTGCTCCAGTAGAGGAAGTCATAAATGTGGGGGCAGATGCCAAGGCAAGAACAAAGCCGGTAAAACATGAACAACTAAATAATGCGAGTTGGTCTAGAAAACGTAATTTCAAATAGGCAAAACAATTGTCAAAATCGACTGCTAGGAAAGGAAACGTTTATAGCCCGATACGCTTTTCAGCCACATTACCCAGCGCTAAAATGCTCCATTAGTAGGCGATAAAGATGCCTGTTAATGGAAGATTTATTAAAGTTGTGAATGTAATTTAATATAAAACCTTACCATAAAGGCAGTATAAATAAATCTTGCATTGGATTTAAAGATGATGTTTCACACAAAAGGATGAGGAAGTTATTCCTGAAGTTCCTCTTCCAGTGTCAGAACAGATTTACAGCAGACACATTTAGAAGATACTTATTGTTTTACTGGGATGCCTCCCTAATGTGTTCAGGTGGTAGGACCACTCCTCCAGGGAGTGCTGTAGTTCATGTCAGTGTTGACATAAAAGTTTAAAAAGCACCTGCATCATCAGGGCAAGTTCCTGAATTGGTGAGTGTGTATGTTTACACAAGATAAGGCTGATATATTGATTTAAAACATGTGTAGCTCATGTAAAAAAATTATTATTTATATACAGTTGTGTGAAAAAGTGTTTGCCCCCTTCCTCATTTGCTGTTTTTTTGCATGTTTGTCACACTTAAGTGTTTCGGAACATCAAACCAATTTAAACAATATTCAAGGACAACACAAGTAAACACAAAATGCAATTTGTAAATGAAGGTGTTTATTATTAAAGGAGAAAAAAATCCAAACCATCATGGCCCT